AAGTTCCTTGAAATCCCAAATGTAAAATGCAAAGAATAAAAATTGCATCTGCATAAAAATTTAATAAAATAAAAATCTTTTAAGTTACATCTGTAACATTATCCTAAAACCAGAAACTACTGTATCTTGCCACTGTAGTGTGTGCTTTGCCCACAAAAGCTGCTTTCCTGATAGTCAGATCTGGAGGCTTATTGTCCAGGAATATTGCCAGATGGGTTGATAAGAGGGTGCAGTAATACACACATTTGTATAAGACTATATATCTGCCATATATGTGACATTAATATATTTTGAACATTAATCTTGTATCTTCATGGTTACCTCTGTAAATCTATATTTTTATAAAATTATACAAACCTAGAATTTTATCACCTACAGATACAAGAAGGTGCTATGATTAGCCAGAAAAAATGTTTTAGCATTCCATTCAGAAGCCTTGTAAGCAAGAGGCAATGGCATGACAACTTTGAATGCTCCAGGACAATGACATTTTTCCAGTACCAAACAATTTTGTTTTATGAGAGAGCATAGAGCGTTAGTACATGTAAAAAATAACAAGTCAGCTTGACCTTTATCTGATGAAATCCTCAAAGGGCTTGAGTCACTGGAACCTACCTGGAGTGAAGTTAGCAAGTGCTGCTTTCAACAGTGTCATCAAGTTGTTCAGAGAACAACTGCTTAAACTTGAGTTTTCTTCAAAAAACTCAGCATGGAGTACCAGACTTTTTTTGTCAGCTATCTCTAACATATTAATATTTCAAATCCATTATTTATTTTACCTCTTTAATGAGACAGGGTAGTAGGCAATTCTGTCTTGTCATCAAGAGCTAATTATATAAGATATAAGGTAGTATTTTAATTCATCTGATATAATCTGAGTATTTCAAATTTTTATGTAGTATAATATTCAATGAATTAAAAATCTGTTCTTTTTAAATTTATCGAAGCACTATTGCTCTTGTATGTCCATATTTTTTCCTTAATCTTTGCAAATAATACAAACAATTTTTAAATATTTAAAAATAAGCCTGATTCTTATTCTTGACCATTTGGCTTTTTTTTTCTAAGGCAGTTGTCAGTGCAAAGCATTAGCAACACTAACCTAGTACAAAGTGAGAGTACCAGGTAGACGTGGTAGTCATATCCTACTGCATCTTTAAGACCAATGCTTCATTTTTTTTGGTACTTTTTGAGATAGGGAGTCTCTATGTAGCTCCAGCTGGCCTTGGATTCAAGATCCTCTGGCCTCAGCCTCCCAGGTGCTGGGATGACAGGTCTCTGCCACCACACCCAGGAAGAGCAGTGTCTTAAAAAATGGTTAGTTGTGTGTTCTCTCCCTCTTTCTCTCTTTATCACTTGCTCACTAGCTGTGTTTTAGGTGTGGACATGTAAAATCCTACCAAAGTTACTTCAAGTTCAAAGGCAAGAGCAGGGGAAGTGATTACAGAACCAAGACATAGGCATTCCCATGGAGATCCAAAAATAGGAAGTGAGGTACAGTTGTGAAACCAGAGTTTTGGACCTAAGGCCCAAACTCCTTGGGCCTGCCAGGTCTGGTCACTTGTCCCTATACACCATATAAAGAGGCATGGAGAAGGTAGAGAAAGGAGATTATTACACAGTTAGAGACATGCCATGGGAAGAGACAAAGTAAGAACTCACCCCATCTTCAGCCATCTTCAGGGTACAGACATGAGCTGTAGGTTTAAATAGACAAAGAATGGGTGCAGGGAACAAGGGATGCATTGTTAAATGTGTGTTCTGGTTGACCATTATCTCAGTCCGAGAGTTCTGGAAAGGGCTCCAGAGAACATATCACTGCTGTCACTTGAGGGAGCAATCTGGTTCCCATGAGATGCTTACTCCTGCTCCAGTGTGGAGCCTCATCATTATAGGTAATTTTCCTCATTTGGAGGAGTGATCTGTCCTGCAAATCTCCCCTGTTCCTTATGGGAAGTTTCAATCCTTTGTCATAAAGTTGTTATCATTCCCATCCTTCCTTGATTTAAAGTGGCTCCAGGACAGAATGGCTCAGAGCAAAGAACAATAGGTACAAAATGGAGACAGAAATGCCCAGTTTTTCTTCTGTGTTTAGGTAATTCGTGGGCACAAGTAAGGAGTCAGTGCTTTTCAGCAAAAGCAGTTTAAGCACCTCTTACATTTGGGCCTTAGAGGACCTGGAATTAGCATCTGGAAACCAAGGCTGTCCTGTCTCGGGGACCACAGATTTTCTCGCTTCTGGATTGTTATAACCATCTAAACTCTCCTCCATCCCCAGCCCTTCTACCCCCTTTCTTTGTCCATTTCTTCTGTGTATTCATTGTGTATTTAATCCAGTATGGCCATTTGTTGTGCCTTTGCATCTACTCAAGTGCATACCACTAACTGGCAACCATCCATGTGAAATTTTCAAGAGCAAAAAACCCTGAATAATCTGCTCAATTTTTAGAGCAAAATCCCAAGGCGTACGTGAGGGGCAAGCCAGATGATGGACTGCCTTGGGATCAGGGCATGGAGGTATGAGGATAGAGGCACGTGGCAGAGGGGTCAACCTTGGTAGAAACTGAGTCATGCAGGTAAGGGTGGAACACTCACACACAGAGCAAACTTTTTCCTTCAAAAGCCGTTTAGAGCTACACAACTGTAGTCCTGGTATTCAGGAGGCAGGAAGGGCAGCTTCCTTGAGTTGCAGGGCAGTTTAGGTTACATAGCAACACCCTGTCAGAAAGAAAGAAGGAAAGAGGGAGGAAAGAAAGACAAAGGATGTTTAGATTCAACAGGCCCCACACACCCCTTCCCATCTCACTCCACAAATCTGTTGTATCCTCCCACTTTATTGCAAGCTTTATTCTTTTCTGTAATCAGAATGCTGAGGGTGCAAACCCCAGGCTTCTAAACATCTGCAATCTTCCCTATTCGGTTGTCTTCCTGCTGTTTTTCTTTCTCCCTGGTTCTTGGGGCTGCTGGAGCCACCATGTGCTCTGAAGTCTGATGCTTCCTGGGGTTGCATAGTCCCTTGGCTTCAGCCAAAGGGATGTAGAGATTAATTTGTTAATTACATTAAGCAAGAATAATGTTCCAGGAGTGTGCTAGCAGCATGCTTCTCAAACTTTTGTTAAACATAGGGAGTACCTGTGGCTCTTGTGAAAACCCAGATTCTGATTCAAGAGCTCCATGGTGGGGTGTGAGCTTCTTCATTCTTAACAAGCTCCCAGGTGGTGCTGACAATGCTGACAGAACAACTCTTGGAACAAGAGAATAGACTCAGAAGTACTATGCATTTATCACAGCTACAATCCTTGATGGCAGGGACCATGCCCTAGGCAGCTTTATAGGACCTTCCATCTCTGACATCGTAGCTGATGCTATGTGACCGATATTCACATATTGGCTAGATTTTTTTGAACTGAGCACACATGAAATACAAGGTTTTCTACAAGTAGTTTTAAGTGAATGGTTTTCAAAGACTACTAACATTCAATGAAGTCAATAAGCATCTCTTAAGGTCTGGTTGTGCAAAGCTCTAGGAGAAATATTTTTTAAAAAGTTTCAGTACTGTCCTCAAGGACACCCTGATGTGATTTCCACTCACTAATTCTGTCTTTACTGAAATTGTGGGACTAATTTTAGAATTGTAGGTAGCAGCAAAGGCCAATGAGCCTATTTATGCTACAAGAAATTTGACCTTTTATAATTTAGGTGGTATTTTGCCTGTATATACAATAAAGTTAATAGGATTTTTTATTATGTTTATGTGTAATAAATAATGCATGTAAGGATTGATTTTCAGACCTTGCATGTAGTAAATGATTGCTTACCAGTAGTAGCAGTAGTAGTAATATTTAAAATAGTCTTAACTATCCAGCTAATTCCAATCTCCCTAAGTCCATATATCATCTTAATGTTCCATTTGACAGTCTAGGGCTTATCTATAATTTAATCTTCATAGTATTTTTGGTTAAAGTTTAAACTTAAAGGAAAATGCATTTCAGTTGATTCCTCTTGGTGTGAAAATTGCTGTATGCTCTATAACAGAAAAACAAGAATATATTTTCCTACCTTGTAGCTGGTTAAACTCAAGATCTTCTTTCCCCTTTACTCTGATGCCTTCTCTCAGCACCATTATTCCTTTAAAAGGGTTAATGTGTTGATAATGTTCCTCTAAAGCCTCTCCTGTCATTTTTTAATGGTCCAGGAAATATGTAAATACATACCAAAATACACATACACACAAACATACATACACAGATAAATTCACGTATGAATAAAAATGCATGTAAAATAAGAACATCATCTTTGGAAAAAGTAATTTGGGCATGTAAGTAAAGGAACATTGAAGTCATAAACGTTGGCTTAGATTTTATTTATAAAAGATAAGCATCTACGTAAGAAATGAGATCTGTGATCTTCAACTAATAAAGCCAATGATAAGATCTGTTGCACTTACAATACACAGTAGAAACCAGTTCTCAATAAATGAGGAACAATTCTTCATTGATCAGACCTAAGGTGAATTCCTAAATAAAGCTGACCACCTCTATTACTCCCCAAATAAAGCTGGGCATCAGTATGAGTTATGTGTGTGGAAGAAAGCATTAGTTGAAGCAACAAATATAGCTTCTAGTGGAAATACCATCATTGAAGAAACACTAGAGACCCACCCAACAGAGGCTGGCATATGAGCCTGTGAATATCATTGACTTATTGAAACATACTTACAAAGACCTTGGAAACATTTATTACCTCATTACATTTATAAATATTTATTAATTAAATATTATATTTTTAATAGTATAATGTTTATAAACATTTATAAACTCTCATTACCTACATTTTTTTGTAGCCCAGATGTCAGCTATTTGTATTTTGTCAAATCTTCCAGCTTGCCAAGGTCAACTTGTTCTTTAAAAATATAATTTAAATGAACTCAAGACACAATCTCATGAACAGTGAGTTCTCTGCATCCACCCCAGTGTTTTCAGTGGTTCTCAGTAGAGGTCATGCCTCTCCCCGATGCCTCTGCTCCTGAGCCACCACTTAAGCTGATTTCATACAGAGATAAAACTGAAAGATCCCCATGGCACCCACATAATGCAAGTAAAACCATTTCAACAACTGTAAAATATACCTCTCCTTTTGGTCCTGAGGAGAGGTAATCATCTTAATAAATTAAAAAGATATGTCAGGCATTGTGAATGTTTGAGGGAAGACAGGGAAGAGAGAAATCTGAAAGTAATGAAACAACATCCACTTGTTTCATTTGGCTAAAAATAGAGAAAAGAATGAAGTCCTGACAAGATTTTGAAACATTAGGCTTGTCTGTGGGCAATAACAAGGGGAAAAAATTACCTATGAAAGTTTGAAAGGAAACAAGAAATGTTAGTGATTGCGAAAGTGATTGCAAAAGAGTGTCCAGCACCCAGAAAGAGAAAAGAGTCACCAGCGTTCCTCTGAAGCTAGATGAGCTGGTAATTCCACAGAACACACTTTCCTCACCCTTTTTATAAAAGCAAATCCACATGGTCTTTGTCTCATCTTCTATTGTCTGCCAGATCTATTTTTTTAATTCATTTATTCACATGTGCATACATCATTTGGGTCATTTCTCCACCCTCTCCTCCCCTCAGTTCCAGGCAGGGCAGAATGGATCAGATCTAGTCTTAAAGCAGTAGCTGCCAGCATGTTATTCAGCCCCTTCCACCACCCTGCAGTGTGCATAGCTTTCAGCCTGCTCATTCTCACATTTTTTTCCAAGCATTTGTTCCCAGCCTTAGTTCCAAGACTATTCTAACATGATATTCACATACCTGCGTCTCTTTCATGGGCTCTAACCCTCAAACTACCTGGTTGTACCTTTTATTTGGTTGAATTAGAAGAAATGCTGATCTGATTGGTGAGACTTTTTTTTTTAAATAGGATATAGTTCATTTATCTGGAGCACTTTTAAATGTATAATAAAATTTATCATAAAAATAAAAATAATATTTATTATTTTGCTCAGAGATTAGAATAATGCCTATTAGTTTTGAAGGAAAAGTTAAATGAGAATTGAAAATAAGAAGGTGCTAGAAATGTGAGCATAATTTGGGGATGCACAATGACAGCCTCTTCCATCTGCTTTCCCATGGATTGAATCAAGTCAGTGGGAAGCCATGTCTCTCTTTTTTTTTTTTTAGAAGTAGGATCATTTTTTTATTTGATAGGATTTATATATATAATGATTTGATTTACTCAAATGAAATTAAAATAAATGTGATTATATAAGAAAAGAATAATTGTTTTAATCAATTATTTACTGTTTTTTTTCAAAAGGGAAAAAAACCTACATATTTTCCATTACAACAATAATAAATCACATAGGATTTTTTGTCAATCTGTTCTAAAATAGGTGGAAAAACAAAATTTTGTTAACTCTTATGTCATAAATTTTCTTTCTCATGAAGTGATAGGTAAACAGCTACAAAATTCTTTTTTTACATATTGTTTTATTATTCATATGTGCATACAACGCTTGGGTCATTCTCCCCCCTGCCCCCGCCCCCTCCCTTACCACCCACTCCGCCCCCTCCCTCTCCCCCCCACCCCCTCAATACCCGGCAGAAACTATTTTGCCCTTATCTCTTTTTGTTGAAGAGAGAGTATAAACAATAATAGGAAGGAACAAGTGTTTTTGCTGGTTGAGATAAGGATAGCTATACAGGGAGTTGACTCACGTTAATTTCCTGTGTGTGTGTGCTACCTTCTAGGTTAATTCTTTTTGATCTAACCTTTTCTCTAGTTCCTGGTTCCCTTTTCCTATTGGCCTCAGTTGCCTTTAAGGTATCTGCTTTAGTTTCTCTGCGTTAAGGGCAACAAATGTTAGCTAATTTTTTAGGTGTCTTAGCTATCCTCACCCCTCCCTTGTGTGCTCTTGCTTTTATAAAATGTGGTATCTATACACAATGGAATTTTATGCAGCCATGAAGAAGAATGAAATGTTATCATTCGCTGGTAAATGGATGGAATTGGAGAACATCATTCTGAGTGAGGTTTGTCTGGCCCAAAAGACCAAAAATCATATATTCTCCCTCATATGTGGACATTAGATCAAGGGCAAACACAACAAGGGGATTGGACTTTGAGTACATAAAGCCATGTCTCTTACTGGCTCTTGGGGATTACCCTTAAAGCCCTGTCTCACTTGGAAATGTTAGTCTTTCAGAAGAGTTGCTGGGTTCTCTAATCCCTAAGAGGTAGTACCCAAGGCAGATAGTTTTTGTTTGAGGGAGATGGATAAAGTCACATCTGGACAGTTCCTCAGGTAAAAAAGACAGCTGGAGGAGCTGCCAATCAGACAGGCATGCTCCTTAATGATCTGGGCCACACTGACTGGACCAGTGAGGCACTGTCAAGGCCTCATTACTCTTGGGCCTCTAAAGAAACAGAGAAAAAAAGAAAAGCTTCAGGATTGGGTAATTTTCCTGCCCCTTTTTCTGAAAGAATAAGACACTTTTGACCAAGTCATCATACAAGCAAGTAGAATCACAAAAATTTTTAAGAGCAATCATACTTAGAGAGTCTCCTTGCCTTGGTTACTTCTGACCTCCTAGATGTCTACTTTGCCACTTTATTCTTTAACCAAGATGGTACATTATGAGCTGGGGGTGTCAGCTTTCAAGGAAAGTTTTTTAAGGTAAAAGAAGGTTTCAGGAAGTTTGTTCAAACAGACAGAGAATTGCCTCTCTGTTGGTTGCCACAGCAGCGTGTGGGTGTTGGACAGTCACACCTGAGCCATAGCACTCTGTACAAAATGTTTCTACTCTTAGAGCAATTTACAATAGATTCAGTAATTGCCACCAAGTTGAATTGTGATGACATTTTTCAAGGCAAAAAAAAAAAAAGGCAATGAAACCTACATGCCTTCCTTCATTGGTATCTGAATTTGACTGAGCACCTTTAGACCAGTATATGTCAGTGGATCTACATTCAAATTAAAATAAATCATTTGAAGTCTATGTGCAAAATAATGAGCAGCTAACTTGACCACTGTTTTTAGTACACAAATATATTCAGTATCAAGGTCACTAATGTTTGCCTGTTTTATTTACTACAGGTTTTAAACCTAGAAGAAATTGGTCTTACTACATATAGATGAGTGTATGAGGAAAGATTCAAGCTTTGTGTTAACCAAATTAAATTCTAAAACCAAGAAATTCATCATTCTGACATTTTTGCAGATGCTTTGAAATCTCTTTTAAAATGTGTCTTATTTACACAAAGAATGCATTAGCAGGTCATGTTAATATTAGAAATAAAAACTGAGTAAGGCCTTTAATAATGCACCCCTGTTTAAATACAAAATTTAGTCACTATTTTCCCAAATTGCCAGAATGAGCACTTCTCCAATTATCAGTATTTTGGATTTTGAGGTTTTCCTCTAAACAGTTTAAATGGGGTTTTTTCTTAATTTTTTTTGAATTCCAGCATTTACAACTATATTGTAATGCCAGACATTACACATCAGAAAATAGAGAGAAGTTAGGAGAAATAGAAATGAGACTCCCTTGCTATTAAGATTTCATATAATTAAAAATAAAGTCTTAAGCTAGGTATGATGGTACAACCCCAGCACTCAAGAAGCTGAGGGAGGAGGATCAAGGATCACTAGTTCAGGACCAACCTGGGTGAGATGCTGTCTTAAAAATTAAATAAAGATGAATAATTAAAAAAAATGCCTATTCTAAAGAAAAAAAAATTGAATAAAGAATGGCCAAGCATAGTAGTTCACGCCTATAGACCCAGTACTCAGAAAGCTAAGAGTTTGAGGCCAGCCTGGTCTGCACAATGAGATCTTGTCTCAATAATTGTAATAATAATAATAATAATAATAATATAACTAATAGGAAGTATGATGATCTTTATAAGAGCACATGCCTAAATAGCACAGTTTTAGATAATGAAAACATATTTAATAGTCTTCCATTTAGAGATTTTTGAGATAGATTTCATGTAAAGAACATGAGGAGGTTATGACCCATGAGTAAAAGTTTCCAGTTACCATTTTTGTGATAATTTTAGTGTAATGAAAATACACACACACACATATATATACATATACATACATATATATATATATATATATATATATATATGTCAGTTTACTTTGGACCCCATTGTTCCATATAGAAATAACAAATATCAGTTGTTCTGTACAGCTTCCAAATAGAAAATTGTCTTTACTTTCAAGAGTGTAAAAGGCTCTTGGGGAAATATATAGCCAAGCAATGGCAAAACTGTCATCTACTCAAAACCAAGGCAGTGGAGATGACAAAGGGAAGCCTCTGAGAGTCCTCAGACTTGCCTTTAACAAATCTCTTCTTTCACATGCTCCCCAAGAACATAGGATCTGAAAAGCAAGTCAAATGGTCTTGTTGTTAGCATCCTAAAAGTTACATGATACATTATTCTTTGTTTCTTTCATTAAGCCCATCCTAGGAACTAAAATCTGGGATGAGATTGAGAAGGAGGAAGGAAGAGACAAGGAGAGATAGAATATATGGAGAGAAAGATGGAGGGGAGACAAGAGAGGAAAGAAGAAAGATGCCTGGACAGGGGCCATCAGCCCCTGTCCTTTGCTCTGAGGAACTAGAGAGGTCAAGATAGATCCATGCAGGCCTGATCAGCCACTGATAGGACACAGTGATGTTGTTATCAACCCCATGGCCGTACACCTTGATGATATTGTTCTTCACTTGAGTGAAGACAGAGGGAGGGAACAGAAAGGGGTGTTGAACTCCCCCAGGAATCCACCAACTAGTTTGAAACATAAACTGAACATGACTAAATCAATGATTCTCAAAGTATGCTTTAGGTAATATTACTCCTGTATCTGTATCTATGTATGTGTACATACATGTATTTGTGAAAAAGAAGAGGGCTTAATTTGTCATTTAAGTCTAAAACAGTAGGTTCAACAAAATCTCCTAGGTAATTTATTTAGCTTCATAACTAACTTATTTTAGAAATGAACGAAGTACAGAAAGATCAAGTAATATAACTAAAGTCACTCATTAATGATGTGGTGCTGGAATTCGGTGCTAGTTTGATCCTGAAGCCTAGACATATGACTCCATGATTTCCTCCAGGCTTTTTAAATGAAGACAGGTACTCCAAATCCTTGAGATGTATACATATAGTGCGTAATTCTCAATTTTATTTGCCTATAACCTTTTTTTTTTTAACTTTCTGAGCTTCCCAAGAAATGAATACCCAACAGAACCTATTTTGTGAAGCAATGGGTAGATTTTAATCATGCAAACCCTTCTCTAACAAAGCTTTCATTTGGCAAACCAAAAATTTGCCTTTGCCAACATCTAGATCCAGAGAGCTGGCATGAAGTGGTGAGAGGATATCTTCTTTTTTTTTTCATTTTTCTTTTATTATTCATATGTGCATACAAGGCTTGGTTCATTTCTCCCCGCTGCCCCCACCTCCTCCCTTACCACCCACTCCGCCCCCTCCCTCTCCCCCCCTCAATACCCAGCAGAAACTATTTTGCCCTTATTTCTAATTTTGTTGTAGAGAGAGTATAAGCAATAATAGGAAGGAACAAGGGTTTTTGCTGGTTGAGATAAGGATAGCTATACAGGGCATTGACTCACATTGATTTCCTGTGCGTGGGTGTTACCTTCTAGGTTAATTCTTTTTGATCTAACCTTTTCTCTAGTACCTGTTCCCCTTTTCCTATTGGCCTCAGTTGCTTTAAGGTATCTGCTTTAGTTTCTCTGCGTTAAGGGCAACAAATGCTAGCTAGTTTTTTAGGTGTCTTAGCTATCCTCACCCCTCCCTTGTGTGCTCTCGCTTTTATCATGTGCTCATAGTCCAATCCCCTTGTTGTGTTTGCCCTTGATCTAATGTCCACATATGAGGGAGAACATACGATTTTTGGTTTTTTGAGCCAGGCTACCCTCACTCAGAATGATGTTCTCCAATTCCATCCATTTACCAGCGAATGATAACATTTCGTTCTTCTTCATGGCTGCATAAAATTCCATTGTGTATAGATACCACATTTTCTTAATCCACTCGTCAGTGCTGGGGCATCTTGGCTGTTTCCATAACTTGGCTATTGTGAATAGTGCTGCAATAAACATGGATGTGCAGTTGAAGAGGATATCTTCTGAATTTAGAGTATTTGTATTGAAGTTATTGAGTTATTGCTTCTTCTCTACTCTTTTTCAGATGTTTCATCCCAAACACCTATGCAGCTCTGTTCACTGCAGCTCTCATTCCATTAATGTGCCTGGTGGTGGTGTTTGTGGTGTTCATCCATGCCTACCAGCTGAAGCCACAGTGGAAAGCATACGATGACGTTTTCAGAGGAAGAACAAATGCTGCAGGTTTGTAAGAACTATTTTTGCACTTTGGAGATGGGAACTTTTCAATGAGGAGAAAATGTTAACTGAATATTTTTTAATCAAAACAAGAGTGAAGTTAGGCTCCGCTTTCAGCTCTGAAGCCCTAAACTATAGGTTTGTGTTGTCTCTCTCTCTCTCTCTCTCTCTCTCTCTCTCTCTCTCTCTCTCTCCCTCTCTCTTTCTCTTTCTCTCCCTCTCTCTCTCTCTCTCTCCTCTTCCTTTCCTCCTTCCCTCCTTCCTTCCCTCATTAACATCTCCTACTTCTTGGTGCTTCCTGACAACTCATTCATCAGGACCCTGTGGCTTTTACTGCTGATTCCAGTTTTTTCCTTAAGGTGTTAATGTCCAAGTCGATGAGTCATGGGTTTTGGGAGTTGCTTCCCAAACTCTCTCAACTTAAACAATAGCAACCCACATTCAGCCTGTGAAACTGACTCGTTTCTCACAGATTCAGAGTCATCATTACAGTTCAGCAAACCACAGTGCCCATGAATGCTGTACTTTGCATGTGGCATTTCGATTGTGCTGACAGATGTTTAAAAACACATGTAATCAGACAGCTTCATAAGTGGCCACATATGTCTAGTTACTTAAGAGGACAAGTCTTTCCAGCTCAAATTGGCTTTCACCAAACTTCATTTTTTCCCTTTGAATCATACTTAGCACAGGTTTTTATGATCTGATTCTTTTGTTGTTGTTGTTATTAGAGTCTCCTAGGAATTTTCTTAACTAGGAACAATAACCGCACACCTACAGACAGAAACTCTCACTAAAATACTGTGTGAACAACTCAGTTATTGAGGATACCCCTGAGCCAATGATCTTGTTTCCTAAGCTTTTACAAATCTGAGGTCACTGATGGCAGTGTTAGAGGAATTATTCATATTTTAAGAGTTTGTCAAGAGTTTGAGCAAGATACCATATGTGAAATCTCTAGAATAGTGTCTAATATATTATTAAGAGCACAATGAATATTACTTGCTGTCAGTCTAATATAAGAAAAGCTTTCTAGTTTCTATACTGGATCAGAGAGGATACAGAAACGATTTACGTATGAGCTAAGGAGAAGAGATTCTTTTCTATTAGTTTATGAAATATTTTAGGATAAAGGCACCTATACAATTCTTCCCTATTCTCTTCCATCCAGGATGTAATAATACATAGGGAGAAATATCACATATAACACATCTATGCAATTATCACACTGAAATCCCTTGTTTTATCATTGTATCCTAATAAAACATAGTTTACTTTTTTTAGTCTATTTCTATGTACTATCTAGAATTTATTTTTTGATTATTGTGCTTGGTGGGAATACATTGTGGCATTCACAAAAGTTCTTATAATATATCAAATATATAATACTTGAATTCACCCCCTCCACCATTCTCCTTTATCCTTCGCCCTTCATTACTGAAGCAGTTTCAACAGTTATTATTTTTTCCATTTACATACATGTGTACACAGTGTTTGCACTATATTCACCCTCCCATGCCCTTCTCCACCTCCTTCCCCCTCCCACTGCTACCAACCCCCCAAGGCAGGACCTGTTCTGTCCTCCTGTTCTCTGATTTTTCAAAAGAAAAAAAAATAGCATTTTTGTTCTTTTAAGATAGCTACACAGGGAGTATCCTTGTGACATTTCCATATATGTATGTATTATAACCCCAATTGGTTCATCTCCTCTATCTTTCTCCTTCTATCTTAGCACACTTCTGGTGATTTCAACAGGTTTAAAAATTCTATATTCATTCTTGTATAGGAAGTACATCAACCATATTCACCTTAACTGTCTTCTTTTACCCTCCCCCACCATGTGTGACCTCTCCTTAGAGTGACCTGTTTTTCATAATATTGCTGTATTTGTATTAGATCTATATTCCGCATATGAGAGAAAACATGCAGCTTTTGACCTTCTGAACTTGGCTAACTTTACTTAAGATGATGTTCTCCAGTTCCATCAATTTACCTGCAAAAGACAAAATTTCATTTTTCTTTGTGACTGAATAAAATTCTATTGTATATAAGTACCACATTTTCTTAATCCAGTCATCAGTAGTGGGGCATCTTGGCTGTTTCCATGGCTTAGCTATTGTGAATAATGCTGCAATAAACATGGGTGTGCAGGAGCCTTTATTGTAACCTGACTTACATTCCTTCAGGTATATCCCTAGATGTAGAATTACTGGATCATATGGCAGTTTTTAGTTTGTTGAAAAGCCTCCATACTGTTTTCCATAGTGGTTGTCCTAATTTATATTCCCACCAACAGTGTATGAGGGTTCCTTTTTCCCCACAACCTCACCAACGTTTGTTGTTTGTGTTCTATCATTGTATTAGAATGGTAGCCATTCCAACAGGAGTGAGGTCGAATCTTAACATGGTTTTTATTTGCATTTCCTTTATGGTCAGGGATGTTGAATATTTTTTTCACGTGGTTTTTAGCCATTTGGACTTCTTCCTTTGAAAAAGCTTTGTTCAGTACATTTGCCCATTTCTTCATTGGGTCATTGATTTTTGCGGGGAGTTTAGTTTTTTGAGCTCTGTGTATATTCTGGTTATTAATCAATCCCTCGTCAGATGTATAGCTGGCAAAGATATTCTCCCATTCTGTGGGCAGCCTCTTCAATTTATAGACCATTTATTTTGTTGTGCAAAAGCTTTTTAATTTCATGTAGTCCCATTTGTCCATCTTTTCTCTAAGTTGCAGAGCCACTTGAGTTCTTCTGAGGAACTCATTATGCCTATTGCTTCCAATGTATTCCCTGCTCTTTCCTGCACTAGCTTTGAAGTTTCAAGTCTACATATTAAGGTCCTTGATCCACTTTGAGTTGATATTTGTACAGGGTGAACGACATGGATCTAGTTTTAGTTTTCGGCATGCAGATATCTAGTTTTCCCAGCAACGTTTGTTGAAGAGGATGTCCTTTCTCCATTGTATGTTTTTGGCACCTTTGTCAAAAATCAGATGGGTGTAGCTGTGTAGATTCATATGTGGGTCTTCTGTTCCACTGGTCCTTTTTGCAGAAAAAGGTTATGGGGGTTTTTCTTTCCTTAAGTGATAAGAATTATTTTGTTTTATTACAATGTAAAAGAGTCCATGTTTGCATGTTATCAGTAGTGATAACATAGTTCCTAACATGGTGAGTGAATCCTCTGAAGGCTAAAGTCACCCCCTATACAACTGGCTATGATCCATTACTGACACAGTAGACAAACAGTACTTTGTCCCAAACACAAAGCCCTCTGGTATTGAGCACAGTGTGTGGAGTTTCAGCACAGTTGTATCTCAGCTAGGGTGCCATCTCTTGCAATGAAATATTAATAGAAACAGTGCTCTATTTCTTCAAATAAAAACTATTTATGGTATTTCTTTTTCCCCTATTATTCTTATGACAGTACAGTCCAGTGTTGTTATCTCACACTTAGACTCTTGCAACATCTTTCTGATTACTCTCTCTTTTTCTAATCTTTTTCTCCACTTCATTATCTCAGATACCTATATTTCAAAAATAGGAAGTTAATATCTTCACTCTCAGCATTATGGTCATTAAAGTCTCATCACCCAAAAGACAAGTCTAGTCTCAGCCAAGTGTGGTGGTACATACTTGTAATCCCAGCTATTCAGGAGGCAGATCAGGACAATCACAATTCAAAGTCATCCCTGGCAAAAAGTTAGTGACCCCCTCCCCCAACAAACAAGCGAGGCGTGGTGCTTCATATCTGTAATTCCACCTACTGCATAGGCATAAGTAGGAGGATTGCCTGTCAAGGCTGACCCTGGCCAAAAAGCATGAGACCCTGTATGAAAAATAACTAAAGCAAAAAAGGAGTGAGGGAATGGCCAGTGGTAGAGTGCCTACCAAGCAAGTGTTGTGCCCTGAGAAAATAGTTTAGTCTCTTTAGCTTATGAGATCCCACAGCCCTCCCTGGGCCATCCTTTCATCCCCAAGTCAATTACTATTTATCCTGTGTTCTGATCATGTTGGTCTCTTTATTGTTTCCTAAAGTTGCCTGATACAGCATCCTTGCTCATGTTAAGGTCCTCTAGTTGTTAAATCTCATATACTCATTAAGTGACACAGTAACATGTAGATGAACAAGGTAGAGGTAGGAGGGGCTTATCACCCTCCCATGATCTTCATTAGCTTCCCAAAGCTCTAAAATAAGCCATATTTTAAGTAAAAAATGGTGTGCTTGATAAACACAATTCCCCTTGGCGTCACTTCACTCCTTTACAGAAATCCTGGAAGCTCTCAATATCCAATCACTGCAAATAAGAAGTGCTCATTTCCTCCTCCATGCCTTGAAAGTACTGGTCCCACAGTCATAATAGCATTTGTCATACCATGGAGTGGGAACTTGTTTGGTTATATGTGAGGTTTTTTTACTAAATTATTAATTTCTTGAGGGACAGGAACATTTAGTATTCATGTCTATATTCCAAGGGTCTTGCAGAGTGCTCAGTGGATGACAAAAACAATTAATATTTGTTGAATTAATGAATAAATTAATAATCATCAATGCACAATAAAATCCTATAATTGAGTAAAGTATATCATTAAGAAGAGGAACTGTTATCAACAAAAGTAGAAATCAAATTTATCTTGTTGATCTGTTTATAGATATCCCTTGGAAGGTTTTTTATAATTAGCACTATTTTTCCTTTTTCTTTACTTCTATGAGCTATGTTCAGCTTTGACTTCAACCTGTAGCTGACCTCCACTTAAATATGCCCCACTTACCTCAAATCCAAAGTTTCTAGGAAAAAAGTTTCTGTCTACCCCAAAGAGAAGCATTTGGCACTCTGTTTGAATTTTTTTGCCAAAATTTGATTGCACTGATGTGTGAAATATCCAGTCAACATGGTACTGTAAATTTGTTTTGCCTTCTACCCTTCCTCCATATACACAGCAGTTAAAGTTAACATATAACAAAAGAATATTAATATGGAGTGTCCTTCTTTATCTTGTTTGATCAAT